TGGCTTGCGTATAGCAGTACGTGTTCCGCGTGAGACAAGGAAGACACTGTTACGGTTTTCCAACAGCCAGGTCTTTAGGGTTAAACAATTCGGCATCGGAATTTTCCTATTCGTGTCTTCTGCATGTTTGAAAACTTTTTCTTTTATTATGACTTCTCGTATCGCGGAACACGAGAACCCTTGAAAAACCTAATTTAACGAAATTAGGCGATGGCACTTAAGACTTGACTGACAATAGGTCTGTGAGGGCTCACGTGGTCCGAACACGTTGGGATTCTCGGGCCGTAAGGAGGAGGGCCCTCTCCACCACTGTCTTCGTTTGGGAGGATCTTCCCCTCCTTCAAAGTGACCGATTTGCTGACCAAGGTCCAATTAGTCAATAATATTTGGCGAGCTCCCGATTTTTCTTAAGACCGATCTTAGGAAAATCGAGAAGAGACACTTCGAAACGAAATCTCATTGAGAACAGTTCGAGCCTACCAATCGAGACCTTAAAGAGTTCACTTCCCACCGTTGTACCAGAGTCTAACGTTCTACTCTAGCCGAGATCTTCCTTTTGTTCGTGCTAATTGAAACAGTTGTCCAATATTAATTTGGCGGACAACATAGCGAGATCGCGAGACGGACGTACAACCCGTCAAAATTTCCCCAAAATTCAATCACGATGCGACGGTACATCACATCAGTTCCAGTATACTCTTTCAATTCTCTAACAATGCTCGTTGCACTGACAAGAAGATTAACTTTTATTTTTCGCGAAATTAACCCTTTGCACTTGACGATTTTCTGGCTAGAGAAGAGTAGGAATTCAAATATTCTTTACTAAAATACCGACGATACCTTTTTGAGCAGTAAATATAGAATTGTATAATAATAGAATTGTAGAATTATTCGATTTCGATACCTCGCACACTATTACGTTAAATTTGATATATTAATTAATATCGATCTTCGAAATTTTATGAAATGGTGACTGAAGGTCACCTCTCGAGTGCAAAGGGTTAAATTTTCGTCCCTTGTTCCAAGTTTCTTGGGTCATCCTGTACGAATTTTAGTGGCCACACATTCTTCATCTTTGTACATTTTTACAATATATTGTACCGTGGAATGGTTTTTTAAAAATATTTCCAATTTCTCGAAACGATGTCTTCTTTTTATGGTCGTTTCTCTATGTTTCTTACTACAATCCATATTTCTAACCTTATATTAGCAATGAAGTGATAGTACTGTTGCTGAAACTTTACTGAGACCTTTGGTTGTTGATTTTCAGCATTAAAATTTCTTGGATCGTCATTTGTTTTAAACGTTTGAGCATCTACGTACAATATTCTACGACCCTACGAAGACTTTCGTAGGACGATGTTTTCACCACGTGATAAATATTCCTCATTTATTGTACATAAAGAAAAATTATTTAATTCGTTTCGTACATGTTCTATTTTGAAGAATAAGAACTCTATTTTAATTATGTATAATAACATTTCAAAAAAAATTATTAAAATAATTATTATTAAAATATAAAAAATATTAAGTTCAACGAATTTCGTTTTCGTGCTCGAGGACTTTTGTGGACCACTGTAAATTATCAATTAAAAGATGACAGCTAAAGGAGATGACAAGAAAAGAATAGTGCAAGAAAAATAGAGAAATTGAAAATAAATTTAAACAAGGTAGAAGTACAATTAATGACGGAAAATCTGCCTGACGAAAAAGTTGCAGAAACCACGTGCTTAGATGAAACATTAATATATCGTTTTTATATCATTCTGACAACTTTATCACGTGGAAAAGAAATAGAGAAAAGTTTCATACAGTATACAAGAAAAACTGCAGACGTATGTCTTAATACTTGGTATTACATGCTTGTTATTTTGCATAAAATATTAATACAAGGAACAAGTGTTATTGAATCATTACTGTTGCTCATTTGGTCAATTGTCTGAAGACATTCAAGAAGTAAGATTACCGATTCGTACGAAAAGGACAGGTTAACCATTTTTCAAGGGTTATTAAAAATATTAATATAACGAATTACCTTTTACTTTCGTCAGAACCAGATATAAGCAATATCAAGGGGCCGGTGCCGGTTGTGAACATAATAGTCATTCGGTATTAAGAGCTGTAGAGTGGAGGGATAGGGATAGAATCTTCTTCGTAGATGAGGGATAAAAAACAGGCCTCTGGTTCAGGTCAAACGTCCAGGGTGATATCTGGAGTGCATGTGAAAGGACAAGTGACCGCGCGCAAAGATTGTATGAATGAGATGTTTATGACTGTATCGAGTGCAAACAACGAACGTAAGTTAGGAATGCGTCTGAGTGTTGGAAATACCTGGCTCACCGAGGGTAAGGTCGCGTGAGAAATAAGTCACCAAGAAAGAAAGCCTGAAAAAAGCCGCTCTTGAAAAGGAGAGAGACAGCTAAGTTTAAATAAGGGTCTTATAAAATCTTATAGTATAAGGCAGTCTTATAGAGAGAGTCGTAGAAGAGTTTATGAAGAATCGGTCAGAGAGAGTCTTACGCGGATTTTGGTGTGCATAGTCAAAGGAAGAACACGAGAGTATCGATTGGTCGCATAATCATAGATCCGTTATTAGTCTAATCTTAATCACGCATTTTCCACGTAACCTCGGCCTCAGAGCTCAGATACTTCAAATACTCGGGACGCATTTCTAAATTTTCGTTTGTTTTTTGCACTTGATTATGTCATAAATATCCTTCACAATTGATCCTTTTACACGCGATCACTTGCGACCTGTGTTCCAAATACTCTTAGCATTTTCTTAAGGCCGCACTCGTTCCATTTTTACAGCGCAATGCTTAGATTATCCTAAGGCATGATTGCAGAAAAAAGAATAGTTGAGAAAGGTAACCGATAGAAATTAAGTGGAAAATTTGAGAAAAGGAGGAAAAACGTAACTAAAGAAAATGATTGTAGAGAAGTTAAGTTGAAAGACAGGAAATTATGACCGTGACAAGCGTCATCTACTGGTGAATCAGTGAGACAGATAATGGTACAGATACATCTGGCAATGAAGAAGGTAGTTAAGCAAGCGGGAAAACTGAATGGCAAGGAGGAAGAAAAGGAACCGTTCAGAAGAGGAGATAGAGTTAAGGAGAAGTAACGAGTGAGTTTGGTGTAGCAAGAAAAATGGGCAAAAGAAAAAGAAGGAGCAGTTAGAAAGTCAGCTGGAAGAACGGAGAAATGAAGGGTGAAGTACGTGTCTTTCCTAAGGGTAGAGAAGGAAGGAGACGTATCTAATGTAGGACTATAGTTAAGCTTGTAATGGAGCAGGTGAGGGAGGTGAGGCGGAGACGAAAGAAAGTAATAAGGAGAGATGAAAATTGAAGGTAAATAGTGGAAACGGGACGGGAAGAGGAGCTGTTGAGGAAATAGAAGAGTGGTGGAAGATACGAGGATAGAAGGCATAGCCGATAGAAGTCCAACGAAAAGCAGATAAAGAAAAAGTAGTGTTTTGGAATACTGCTAGGCTAGGAAACAAAAATAAAAAATTTTGAAAAAAGCTGAAAGAATGGGACATGATAGTAATGGCGAAGACGTGACTTGAGTAAAAACAGAGGAGGAGAATAAGAAATAAGCTGTCAAGAGAATATAGTGGTATAGAAAATAAAAAAAGAAAAGGGAGCATCGTGAGAGGAATATTGGTAGGGATTGCAGAAGACTTGTTGATTGAATATTTATAAAGAAAAGTAGCGAATTGCAGGATTGTATGTACTTGGAGACTTAGTAGAGAAAATTGAAGTGTCTGATGGATTTGTTAGGAATTTTAATGTTAAAACAAGTCAATAGAGAGGAAGAATTAGAGAAAGAAAATTAGGAAAAGAAGAAGAAAGAGCAGATGAGTAGTAGAAAGACAAAAGATGTGAAGGGGAAGAAAGAATTAATAATGATAATTGAAGAAATGTGATGGTCGATTGTTAATGGTAGTATAAAGGAGGACAAAGCAGGAGAGATTACATTTATAGGAGATAAGAGAAGATTCGAGAAGATGAAGGTTGAAGATAAGATTGATTCATATCACTTTCCTTTGGCAGGGGGGATTATAAAAAGTATCAGACAAAAAAAAAACAAGCAATAAGATGCTTAGAAATTTGTTAAATTACTTGTTAAAAATGATGATTCGCTAAATGCAGGAAATGAATTGAATTGATACCGAGAGTCAGCGTTAATATATTTACACCAATGAAAACGACTATAACTTCTAAAAGAGCATATGATACCTTACAGGCATTAGTTCGAAACATTGCATTATCGAATAGAATAAGAATTAGAACATATTTATATATCTTTTTTTCAGCAGAAATATATGTTATATAAAGATGTTATCAATTCTTATTTAAGATAGAAATGTTGATGATACACAATACTGATGTATATTATATTTAGATACCTTCCTTATTAGACTTCGTATGGTAAAAATGTATGCTTTAATCCCGATTAATTTAAACGAATATGTAAATGTTGCCAATACGAATGTATCGCGAAAATGACTGTAATAAACTGATGACATATGCATTAATATAATGTGATTTAAGATGGATACACGTTTAGTTACAGTAATCTAATTCCAATTTCATAAAATTGACAAGTGAAAAAAAATTAGATTTTGTCCTACGAGATTGGCGATTTACACTACAATTATATGATAATAACGTCTCTGACAATATATCTCAAGGTCAATGAAATCGGCGTTATAGATTCTTTTCCAAATAATTATTATTTTGTTCAAATGTAATATAAAAAAATATGAATGCTATTAATAATTCCATTGAATAGTATAAATGAAAATATAATTATAAATAGTATAAATAGCAAAATAAAAAGAGGGAAGAAAGAATCTTGTATGCTATTCTATACTAATTCGATGATTTAGAAAGCCAGAAACGAAAACGTAATTAATGCGATTATATTGTATACATTTAAGTATGTTGATATATTATATGCTATATAAATTAACATTAAGATGTTGATGTTTTTAGGTGGATAGACAAAGAAAATGCAGATAAAATCATAAGACCGTTGTATTCTAAAGCATTACCTTTTCCATTCAACTTCTATTATCCTGCACAATATGAACGGAAAGCTCGTACTCTTATTCAAGTTATGTTTCCTGTAGAAGAAGATATGACTGTCATCGAAAATAAGGTAATATTTCAATTTTAATATTAAATCTTCATATATATAAATACTCATATAAATACAGGGTGGACTACCCATGTGATCAGCTTAATTTATTTAATTATTAATGACCCCATGACAACATTTTTTATATGGTATATCATGGCTCATGGAGGGCTTCGGAATGATTATATTAAATTTGTTGTTAACTCATTTTTTATTAAATTTCCAAGATCAAGATTAGTTTTTTTTTTTTATAGATAAATATATTTTTCTTACGTCTATTTTTTAACAGATATTAAGGCGAATCTGGTGAGCATCATAATACACATTTTTTTCCATGTAAATCAAGAAAATGTTAAGCAAAATATTTCTTATCTTAATGCAAGTGGTGTTTGAAATAATATTTATTATTTAGCTACAATACATTAGCATATACGATTATTAATTAACTACTTAGCTGTTTCTACGATATTTGTATTAATATCTAAGTATGCATTCAAAATTCTTCGTTGCATATCTTTACTTGGATCACTAACAATTGAGTAAATTAAGCTGATCACGTTAGGAGGTTCACCCTATATATTAAAAATGTACATTTATATACTTGTATTTTAATATATTCTCTAGTATATTATTTTTATATTTTTAATAATTTGGAAATATATAATAGATTATATAATTAATATTATATATCAATACATTATTGATATTAATAAATAATATTACTGAATAAACATTAATAATAAATAAATAAAATGTAAGTAATATTAATATAACTTATATATTAATTTTATGAGTTACATAATATACTATCCATGTACTATATCTGTTGTTAAATGTAATAGTATTTTATTTTGGTTTTGTTTGATACTTTTATGTGTCATTGCATTTACAAAGCATAATATCACATTCTTTGGAAGTAAAACTTTATACTTTTGATTACTCAGTTATTTGGTATATTTTTACTCTTTACAAAAAAAGTATTAAAATATTTATACCTTATGTATTAATTTAGAAGTTATTGCAGTTTGATGATCATTAAATTATTTCGGTGTATCAGTAGATGTTATGAGATCTTTACAGAAAAAAATATTATATAATTAACCCTATTGAATGATAACACAAAATCTTGAAAATGATCATACAACTTTATGAATCTTAATGAATTTCATCACATCCTTCCTAGTGGTCTTGACTCTGTATAATAAATTTTCACTATTTCAAATAAGGTAATTTTTTTGTAAAATTAATTATTTTTGGACGAAGAAATTATAAAAGGTTCGAAGAACTTTTTATTCCATGAACTAATGATTTTTATAAATTTGAAATAATAAAATTAAATAATATGTAGGGAATGCCTAATAAATAATTTGTAGGAATATAGGAAAAAGTACATAGAACATATAAAAATTATTCTAATTAAATGCATTATGAAATTATTCCAATTAAATGATTGAAAAAATATTCTGTTGAAATGAAAGGTTGGCTAACTGAAACAATGTGAATTTGATTATGGTGTAATATTTATTTTCTGTAACATGACCATAAACATAGGGTACATGAATTTTTATTACCGTTTGAAATGTTATATCTACAAATCATTTGCTTTAACACATTCATAAATACAAGGGATATGAATTTTTATTACTGTTTAAGAGTGTTATATCTACAAATCATTTGCTTTAACACATTCATAAATACAAGGGATATGAATTTTTATTACTGTTTGAGTGTTATATCTACAAATCATGTTATATAACATGGATTTATTACACTATGTACAATTAAATTCGTTCATTCTTTCGTTGTGTAAACTCCTGAACATTTCATAATATTTTATTACATCTATATCGAATTATTTCGGTAACGATTATTTTCTTGAGTTTTCAACTCTTATCATTTACAAAGAAAGAGGTACCTAGAGAAACAAGCAAATTTTTTACATTTTGGTCATATTTACTGAATCGACTAATATAATTCTTATATTCTTAAACAATTTTTTAAACAATTAAACACTTTTGTGTTTTTGTTTTAAATGAGATTTATAATTATAGATATTAATGATTCTTTTATTTCTACAGTGTGCAGAAGAATATTTTGCGATCTTCATAGTGTAATTCTACGCCTTTAGATCGGTGGAGATATGGTAAGGACGTGGGCCACAAAATTGACCATGATCAATTTTTCTGAGATAAAATTTTTTTATAATTGCATCGTATTCTATTTGTTGAGAGGATAAAAAGTTTCAAAGGTGTCGGAAATGATCCGTCCTCATAAAAAATGATGTCAAAGTTTCAATAATTTTTAACATCACTATATATCGGATAGTAAAAACCAAGGGTTAAAGGCTCCAAGTGGTTATAGTACTCATCCAGAGGAATTAAATCAAAATAGGTTTTAAATTCGATTCTCTTGTTATTTACGAACATTCGTTGTCGTCAGTGAGTTTGAATATGCGAGATATACATTCAAATGAGAGGAAAATGTTGAAATTAGGGGTTGATAATTGTAAAATAACTACGATATATACATTCTCTGTAAAATTTTTTTGTTACTCGGAAAGGTTACTAGAGCAACTGTGACTGACTCGTGAAAGAGTATCAAGATACGTGACGCAGTTCGCCTAAATAAACTCCCAATTTTTATCTAATATTTATATAAACATTCGTTCTTGGAATTTAGGTCTTATAATCTATTTATTCACACCTTGTATCCTAGATTGATTTTCGTATATAACTAAAATTATCTTTTCAACACGCCTTCTCAAAAATTAATCGGGAAATGACAAACCAAAAACAACATTAAACTTAAATATATATACCTAATATAGTTATATTAATTAACTATCGTATACCTTCCTTCTTCTGACGAATTACAATATGGCCCAACATGTGTTGCTAAGGGTCAAGGGAAACTCAGGAAAACTGACCAGACCATTTAAATATTACAATAATTGAACAAAAGGTATATATATATTCTACACTCATTTTCAACCCTGAAAGTGTTTTAGTCAGCACATCTGCAACTTGTTCACCTGTAGGAATATATTTCAATGTTATCACTTTATTCTCCACCTGTTCGCTGGTAAAGTGATATTTAATATCAATATGCTTTGATCTTTTATGATTGGTCGGATTATTTGCTTAAACCATTGTTGTCTTCATATATTACAATAGATTCTGAAAAATTCATTTTGATACTGATTGCCAAAGACTTAAATCATAATGCTTCTTTAACCGCCTCAAATAGAGCCATATATTCAACTTCAGTGCTCAATACTGCTACTGAATTTTGCTTTTCTGAGTTCCAAGTAATGGTACATTTTTCAAACAATTTAAATATGTACTCAGTTGTACTCTTTCTGTCGCAGATATCATTACCTCCCCAATTTGAATCATTATACCCTGTCAAAACGTTATTATATTCACTTCTTGTGTAAGTTAATTTAATATCTATAGAACCTTTCAAATACCTTAAAACTCTTTCAAGACAAGTCCATAATTCTTTATTTCTCTTATTTGTATACCGATTCAAAATGCTAGTAGTAGCTACACATACATCAGGTCGTGTACACATTATATTATCGTGTATATCGTGTGTATTATATACATTAAACAGCCAATAACATTTCGACAAGGTGCATTATATTCTTCCTCTGAATTCAGGGCTTCATAATTTAATTTACTTTTCAGAGGAGTACTAATTGCAACTATCCATATTAAATTTCTTCAAAACTTCTCTTATATAACTACTTTGATCTAAAGTTATTCTGTCTCTAGTTCTTTCAACTTTAAGTCCAAGAAACAATTTAATTTCTTTCAAGTCTACCATTGAAAATTTCTTCATTAAATAGTCTTTGAAAGGTATTTATGGTTTCAACATTAGCTGTAGCAATTACAAGATCTATGTATAAAACTACATAAATATTTTGAGAAATGTCTCCTCTATCTAAAATGTAAATGCAACAATCAACCAAGGAATTTTCAAAACCTTTCTCTTTGAGAGTCTTTTCGAATTTTTCGAACTAATACCTTGCTGCTTGTTTTAAACCATACAAGGCTCTATTTAATCCTTTTTAGATTAAATTGATTCGCATAAACAATTATGAACCTAAAATTTGTGAATTTTGCAACCAGGGCAAAAGTTTCGTTATAATCTACTAAGTACTCTTGGCTAAAACCCTTTACAATCACATGAGCTTTATATTTTATTGGATTTCCAAATTTGTTATTTTTATAGTAAATACCCATTTACAGTCTACAATATTTTTGTCCATAGGCTTTGACATTAATGTCCACGTTTTGTTAATCGAAAGAGAATCCATTTCATATCTTATAGCTCGTTTCCATTGATCCTTATTATTTTTACTATTAATTTCTTGATATGTTTTAGTAATATCACTCATTATTGATTGTCCACACATCAAATAATCTTATTGCTATATCCTCCTCATTATAAAAAATATAGAGTCTCCTTTTAATCCTATCACTCCTATGTTCTGATAACATTCTCTTTACTATTATCTGTACTTTCCGTACTTGTATTGTTTTGAGACAAGGAGTTACCTATTAGGGTTATTTTTACATGTTCATTTAAAGTATTCTTACTAACGTTGTTCGATTTTCTAATATTTCATTTGTCTGCTTTTTTATTACTAGACTTACCTGTTTTATCTACTGATTTTGACCTTGCGTCAGAAATATCAGTTTTGTTTTCCATATTTAAACCATATGATTTACATTGACATTAAGTCAGAAACTTAAATTTCATTTCAAGACTTTTCACTTTTAATCTCTTCAATTTTCGCTACCAGCCTTGACTCTAAGAAATTGATTTCATCATTTATCACATCTTTAACAACAACATACCTTGGCCTTTCCACACCTCACACTTTGTATCCATTAGTTTTATAACCTATCAATATTTCCTTCCATGACCTTTGTCAAACTTTGCTTTACTAGTTTTATTATGTACATGTACTGTGGAACCAAGTCTTAAATATTTGATTTGCGGCTTTTTACCATGTCATAATTCAAATAGTGTTTTATCATGTTTCAATCCCCTTGTTGGGGTTTTATTAATTAAATATGTAGCAATAAGAACGGCCTCGCCTCAGAAAACTTTATCTAAGCTCGCAGCTATTATTGTTCGAGCCTTTTCGGTGATCGTTCTATCAATTCTTTCTGCTACACTGCTACACTAACAGTGGAATTCGTGGAACAGTCAAGTGTTAACTAATACACTTTTCGATATAGTAGACATTCATCTTATTCGAAAAATATTCTCTACTGTTATCACAGTACAAATTAACCAACTTTAAATTAACATTAGTTTCACGTTTTGCAACATAATCTTTAAAAACTGTAAAGAGTTCCGATTTAAATTTCATTAAATAGGTAACACAATAAGAAGTGTACTCATCGATAAATTTATTGTAGAAGGAGTGGATTAGATCGCACACGTCTGAATGTACTATTAACAAAGGTCTTTTTACATGGGCTTTATCTTTTCTCTTTTGAAATAGCAATCATGCTCATTTACCTTTTATACAAACTTCACACAAATTATCATTTGGTACTATCTGGTTAAGCAGCTCTACATCACTAATCACTTTTTATTTTTTAATTCTAGAAATTTACTTCTTCCAATATGTTCCAAGCGTTTATACCATAATTCAAAATTACCTTTAATAGTAATATACATCCGAACAACTGAGTTTACCTTTTTATTTACTACTTTGAAATTCACGGCAGTAAGATTGTTTAAGGACTTACCTTGTATGATCATCTTACCATTTTTTAAGATTTTTACTCTCTTTTGATTAAAAACAATTGTGGTACCCATACTTTGCATTCTTGATACTGACAGCAGATTGAAAAGGATATCCATTGAATATAGAACACCCTTAAGCTGTCCTTTGACACCTATGTCAGTTGTTACATCCAGCGTGCCCCTTTTTATTACAGTTATGAGTGGGTTATAACTCAGTTATGAGTGAGTTATAAACATTCATCTTTGGAATTTAGGTCTTATAAACTATTTATGTACCATTTATTTACACCTTATAACCTAGATTTATTTTTAAATATAACTGAACTTATCTTTTCAACAGAAAACATTATATCAAACATAGATATACAAGAATATTTATAAATAATAGAAGTTAATTTTATATCGAAAAGATTGATTTCACAATCTATATTACTTTGGCATTTTTTCTTCCTTGCGATAAAAACTATAAGACCCTTAACTCTTGTCTTTTTTTACTGAATATACAGTGGTGTTAAAAAATATTGGAATTTTAACATCATTTTCCAAGAGAACGGGTCATTTCTGACTTATGATCCCTTTCAAACTTTTTATATGTTTGATAAATAGAATACGGTGCAATTATAAAAAAAATTTGATCTGGAAAAAATCAGTAAGGTCAAATTTATGGTCCACTTTATCAATATACCTTCACCAACCAAAGGTGTAGATTCGCACTGTGTAGATTATGACAAAACATCTTTGTACCATCTGTGCACCGAGATCGAATAGGGTAGAATAATAAATAATCGGTATAGACATAGAATCAGTGTTAATTATTCAATATAAAATAAAAGCACTGCTTTATAGAGTAACTTATCCTACTACTATGGTAATATATACCAGCAAGAATTTACAGATAAGAATTTCGAGAGCACTAAAAGTAGAATGATATATCATCGAAATCGTAAATTATTGAATTTAACAATAGAATGATAATGAGAATATAATTTTACTGATACATCTTAATTATTAATATACTTAACAATTGTTATGAAACATCTTTGCTAGAATTTTCAGTTCTCGTTGTATCGATCATGTCCGACTTTATCTAGTCAGCGAAGAAACTGATACTATATCAATGATCTAACTATTTAGAAAGGAAAATCCTTTATCTTGATAACAACACCATCTAGAAATCTTCCACTCTAATTAAAAACGACTTCATATCGCCGACATTCAGAACTGTTTGTAGTTTGTAGTTGTAGATATACAAAGTTAAGTAGTAAAATGAAAAAAATCGTTATTTGTTAATATGTTTATTGTAATTACAAATTGTCTATATTCGATAAATACAAAAATGAAGATTGTATTATATCTTATGATACTCACTCACTCATGCCAACATTAATTAATAAAGTTACAGTTTTTAACATTAATTAACTTTAAATTTTAATTTATATTATGAGATACTACTGAATACGAATTTAAATTCTCTTTAATGTTTCAAACAGTTGGAAGATTTTTAACCGTAAATTATTTCAAACCAATATCGTATAACGTTGACTGACATACGAATTCCTTATTTCTGCGAAATATTTTAGATGATTGTTTCGGAAATCAGAATATTTGTATTTTTATGCTCGATTGATTTTACATCGTTTGATTTGTATTTTACAGACATCGTTTGTATACATCGTGTAATAGACAACGTTTGGCACAACTTTAATTTAAGAATAGAAAAGAATTTAAAAGAAGCTGTTTTTATACTGTTATCGACATAAGTTGATGTAATAATAGGATAAGTTACCTTGTTTTTTGTTTATCTATTTAAAATAGTGTTTATTTTATACTAATAGTTAACATATTGTAAATTCTATATATATATATGCCAATATATTATAGCGTGTACTATGCCTTAATTTTATTAAATTTTAATCTATATTGATTGTGGACTTCGTTACGCGATATTATATATGTAATTTAATTTGTAGGAACGAAATTTTTGACTAATATCGAAAATTCGTTTTATTTGTATGATAAAGAAGGTAATTTTCTTACGTTATGGTTAATCAGATTCATATTCATTTCGTGCTGTATTTTCTCATCTTTATATAGTAGTATAATTTACATATATAGATATTCACAAAGGAACTCAACATTCATCTAGATTTAATTAAAACGATTTTCCATCTAAAATCTTCAGCATTGTTTCTACGTATTCAACATCAGCTACAATTTTTACGAATCTTATTAAAAATTAGTTCTTCAGTCTGGATCATTACAGGCTTTATAACTTTCATAGCAGTTTTCCAAATGAAGTTCCCTTATTTTCAAAATTATTTTCTCACAATTGAAATTTTTATTAAATTTGTATATCAAATAATTGGTGAGAAATTTGAACTACTTTACTGTTAATGCTGTATATACAATTTGTCGCCAAAATATTTGTTTACATCTTTCCAATATCTCAATTTTTTTACTTTAGGACACAAGTCATAAGACTTTTATCAACGAGAATGTGTATTATATTTTAACAAAGTCAGACGTTAAAGCAGATGTAATTTCTGTTTGTATCATATCGAATTATTTTGTAATAAATTCTATTTATTTATATCAGTTGAAAGCTTACAAGTTAGTTAATTAGTTTCCCCATTCATAACGTTTTTGAAATTTGTATCGTTCAATATGAGTGATTAGAGTGGTACAAATATTTTTATAATTCATTGTATGTACGCAAATCTTGTGTTGTAATATGTTGTAAAATTCAGTGACTTATTTGTGCGATATGTATATCCAATTAAGTTATGTTATGATAAATGCATAAATTAAACATAACTTTAACTTTATCTCATCTTATATACATACATGAGAAGTAATTCTAAAAATATTAAAATTATGTATCAATGAAATTTCAATGATAAAATGTTTGTACTAGGTATACTCTGAAGCACAAAAATGCTTGACTTTATTATCTACGAGTCTTGGTGATTCCAAATATTTCCTGGATAAAGGACCTACTGTATTGGATGCTATTGTATATTCTTATTTGGCACCATTGCTCAAAGCTAACTTGCCAAATTCAGCATTACAAAATCATTTGAAAGCTTGTACAAATTTAGTAGCATTCGTATCGCGCATATCGGATAAATACTTCGCAAGTGAAGGTAGCGAATACCAAGCCAAAGAAACTGCTCAAAATATAAAGAAATACTCGCATAATGAGTTTCCTAATAAGAGAAGAAATCAAATCTTTGCTGGAGTTTTTACTGCATTGCTAATGACAACTTATGCATTATCATCTGGAATATTAGAGGTAAATATTTTGCAAGCATTACAATAATAATGTATATCGTAATGATTTTTTAAAAATTTAATAAATACTTCTGTTTTGTTGATGATTATCAATGTAATACAGTAAGTATAGATTTTAAATGGTTATAAACCATTGGTAAATAATCTAAATTTACTGTTTATGATAAAGTTTTTTAATATTAGAACTACCAAACAAAAGTCTGGAAAATTTCTATGTCAAAATTTCGGATTTCATATTTTTTGTTTTCGTAATTATTGGAAACATATATTTCTAGCGAGACTGGTTAACTTTTATTAAGGTAGGAACATAGATCTATTTATTTTTATTAAGTTTATCTATGTGTATTATATTTAGATACATGTTAAAAATCGGTAGTTCTCGTGTCAAAGTATTTTACTCTTCTTTATTCATGCATCATTGTTAGAAACAGAGAAAGCAGTATCTATTCGTAAAACTCGATCACAATACCTAAATAACGTACAGGGTGGCCCGTGTATAGTGTTATAAAATTCTTCTTTTTTGAAAACTGCTAGGTATAACAACATCTGATATTGAATGGTTCATCAGGATTGTTTCATGGAATAAGTACAGTCTCGTTGTTACTCCGCAGGGTGGCAGCAGGAAGTATTCCAACTTTTAGGAAGTATTTCATGATATAGTAACATAAACATTTTTTATTTCATGATAATTTACTTAAAAGAACAATCCATAAATATTTCTAACACGTACTCTATTCCTACAAACGTGCATTTTGTTTGATTTACATGTTTTAATTTAGTTTTTTTCATTTAGAATTGTGTGTGTAAGCAAGTTCAGCATAGAATGTATACATGTAACATTGGATAACTGATTCCTTCATTCCATCTTCAGATAAATGACTATATTGTTCCTCGATTAAGATTACACTACCAAGAATTTTAACTTGATCTCAACAATGGTAACATCACATGTTAACTTGACCATGTGATTAATAACGAATAACGTAAAGTTTTTGCATAATTTTAATTGTTGAACGTGTAACTATTAAAAGTTACGATTTTGATCTCACAAAGGATCAGTTATCTGCCGATAGAATAACAATTTTTATATTTCTTATTAGACTGTTATGAAATTGTTACTAATAGTTTGCTAATATTTTCTTAAAATGAGCTCAATTAGGATCTTATTCGGATTATTTTGAATTATATATGAAAAAAACTTGGTTTGTTGATAATTTTAGATTGTAATAAAGTATATAATTACCGTTGTCTTAAAAAATATAGTAGAAAAGAAAATTAATGCATCATATAATATCTTCATTTTCTAAATTTCTATGTAATTTAAATATATGTACAATACGTTTCATCAGAACTTAAATATCTAAACATTTTTTGTTTTCGATAATACAAAAAAAAGAAAGAAAAAAAAGATAATTTCAAGCAACAAAGACTGTAAGACTAATTCTTTTTCTTCCATATTTTTATATATCATAGTTGTTTTTGCATGAAAATACATTTTGTGCATTGTGGCATCTTGTAACGAATATTAATCTTATCATTAGAACTGATCTGTAAACTGCCGCTGAAGTTATGTGTCTGTGTACTTCTTACATATCGAAAAAAATTTGATTATGTGTGAGTATGTTGTATTTTCTGAAAATCGTGGTAAATTTTTATATTGAACTTATTTCTATGATATTTAATGCATAGAATATCTTGTTTGCTTAGAATTATTTTGATTTAGAAAGACTTTATATAAACTTTTATATTAGTAATCTGTTAAAGTTTTTGATATTTATGGCATTTTTGTATAAATCTACAATACAAAATTTCTATTTCCAGATTAAGTTTTAATTACTTTTGTTGAATAATTTCTGTTTGAAAATCCTTCCATTTCCATTTGAATTATTTCAATTTTGACAGTTTAGTAAAAATAATGATTAGGTAGCTCGATTCTTCATTTTATGATCGTTTATTACTTTTTAAAAATAAGAAAAACATAAAGGAGTTCAGAAAAGTTTTTTTTTTTTGCATGAAACGGAGCAGAACAAACTTTTATGTAAAAGATACAGAACCGTTTGAAATCAGTAATGGTATAGTTGCGAGTATTTTATATATGTAACTAGATATATAGATAGATAAAGGCTTTGTCCCAAATCTGTTTATTTTTTTCTTTTTTCCTTTTTTTGCAAAAAATGCTGCATTTTAGCACCAGTAAGAAATGTACGTCGAGAAGCTTGATAAAGTAATGTTTTTGCTATTTTTTTTGCAAAGAGACCTTGAAAAACTTGAAAAGCTATAAAACGCGTGGACCGATCACAATGATTTTGAATTACGTTATCGAGGACGAAATTCTGAATAACTTTTATTTTAGTAATAATCCCTAGCACAACGCGATGTAAAACAGTGTCACATGTCTAGTGTTTTTATAAACACACAGTTGCGAGTGCATGGAACGGGTAGTTGAGAAAAAATATCACTGTAAGATACGTGTAGCCTCATAACGGCTGGAATAATAGTATAAACTAAGCTTCGCTAAATTAATATTGTTGAATTAGATTGGATTTAACTAGTATTCCGATTAGTGGTTGCTGGACACGCAGGTTGACATTGTCATTTTCGCTCATTCGTTATATATATTTACTAGATGAGTGGTGGACAGGAGGCAGAGTTTAACCCTTTGGCTATTGTGGGCGCATGCATATATACGCTCAGAAATTTTGCTTCTCACACGGAAGGCGCATCTCTAACCAAAATTTTGCCGTTCTCGACGGACATTGTAAATGAATTCTTACCCGTGTGGTACGACCGGTGCGTTTCAAAGTCTGCCGTAGTTAAAGGGTAAATGTAGTAATACTAACAATTTTCGCAAACATCTCAAAAACTAAGGCAGGATGAATGTTATTGTTCAGATAGAAGTTATTTATGATCTCGTCCTGTGTAATATTCTTGAAAATTATCGGAATCGGTCCATGCATTTTACAGTTTCCTTAAATTTTACGCCTTTGTCGAAAAGGTGGCAGAAGTATAGTGCGTTCGAGAAGAAATGGCGCGGCACGTCATATCCTATTTCGCTCGGTCTTGCTACGGCCTGCCGATGATTTTCGTCTCCGTTTTCGGCCAATAGCGGTCACTGTCTGTAATCGAGGGTGTGTCAGCGGAGTCAGCCATGAGGATGTAAACACGCTTAACCTAACCTATATTTCTTATAAATGTTAAAGTAATGCCATTTTCGCAAAAGAAGATAAAAAACATAAACAGATTTGTTTTATTATACTGATAAAAAGTATAAACACAATGTCGCTAAAGTAAGTAGTTACCGAAATTTTGTACAGCAGGGAGCACAAAAGAAGTCAGTCATATTTGATTGGCAATCGATGAGTAGGTTGGCTTAATCGCATGCACACGCAAAGATGTATACATACGAATCTTTTTAATTCATCATTCACGAGCCCTAAAAGAAAATGAAGGATACGTATCAAAGAGAGATAATTCGACTAACTTTTTCTGAGCTCTCTATAGTTGAGCGTGCCTCACAAGAAGTCCCGTGGAAGGAATGTAGATTTAATTGTTCAGAGTTCAAGGAGAATCCCTGATTTAACATATAATTACACATTTTCGGTTCTAGCCGAACTATTGGTCAAAGCGGCTACACATGCCAGTTGGATTGTGTAATAAAGACTGTCGATGAAATGGATAGGTGGAGTAATCGACTTATTCTTCTTGCCTTTGTGCTGCCTTGCGAGACTTCTTGTAAGACACGTACAGTATTCGTCTCGGTGAGTATTATAAGCTCTTAAAATGTCGGATTTTGTTTTCTTATTATTCTATATGTACGCGATTGTTTTCAGACAATAATATTTATGTAGAAGTATTTAAGGTAGTTGTAAAGTACGCTTAAAAATTGTGCTATAATATTATACCATAGAAATTGTAGCGCTTTATATTTCCATTATCTTTTTCTTTAATTTCATATTTTAAATTAATATAATTTTTTAGTTATCATACAATTCTGTCGAGTTAAACTACCATATTATGAATACAAGTGTGGTGTTAAAATCCATTAGTCAGGAGAACAACACATTAGCATCAAGTATACTTTGATCTCTAGATCTGCTAAAACTTTGCTCTAGTGTAAGAATAAGTAGAAGTAGCAAGTAATTATATTTACGTAAAATTATAATTAAACTATGGCTATGACTTTTATCGGCATGACACCGGTATTTTTCGGTTATACTATTACGACAAATATTGGTATAATATGACAATATCGTTATTGTCACGTTCCTATATCCGGTTTTTACCAAAAAAAAAAGAAAAAAAAAAACAACGCACCTCTGGCTATAGTGAGCTTCCGCGTTAATGCGTTCCAACCCGAATCACGGCTTACAAAGTTTAATTTTGCTTACGTGCTTATCTCCATATTTACTGGTAATTTTTTTGGAGTTTTTGTTTTGATTAGGCATGGTGTCACGGGGAATTTGTCGTGATGGGTAAAGGAAAAGAAAATGTTGAGGAAGTAATGCAAAGTGGTTTTACTCAATAGTGCATATGTAATATAACAGGATTCGAGTTTGGCTGAATAGTACTCGCACCTGCTCGTTGTCACAATATTTTAGTTATTTTTAGAATGATTAGAGGTAGGTAGGACAAGGTAAAGAATCGAAGAGAAAACAGTTATGTTTTCAAACTATGTTCAAGAACACGCTTACGACTGACTTTATTCGGTGCGGACGTCGTTACAATGGTGTAAACATAAATACACGAGGTTTGTCTCGCGTTTGGTGATAAGTTATAAGAATACAAACACTCGGTCAATCACTTAGCGAATTTCATTAAAACTAAAACAACAAAATAATATCGAAAGATATTGAAAGTTAATTTAATCCCTGCTGTAAATAGTTTTACTTGATATAATTAAAAGCATGTCAAAAATATAATTAAATATATAAATATTAACTTAAATTTAAGTTTCAATTTTATAATATTTGTTATAGTTACATAGCGTTATTTTTGTCTAAAACCTAGTCTCCCCTTCTACTAGACCGATATTCTTATATAATAATTACAGATATATAAAATTTATGAAAATATTAGTGGAAAATTTTAAACTTAGATTAGCATGTCATATCAAAGGAAAAACCGAAAAAATACCGGTGTTTATTTCGATTTTCGATATAATATAGGTATCGGCATTTCGATACTAGTCGATTTCGATTATAGCTTTATTAGCATAATACTGGTATCAGAATTATACCGGTACTGAGTCTATGGATACAATACATTCTACGATAACGACAACTGTTATTAATGTTTGAACTCTCGATTCTTTTATGATACTTATGTTTCATCGACTCTTTTATTCATTTTCGAGTAATTTTGTGTTCTTAGACTTATATATTTTTGCATTCACATATTCTTTCACGAATTTCTATTTTCTTTTATTACTTTTTTTCCATAGCCATTCCTAAAATACATTCAAGTAAATCCATTTAAAGTTATGGATAGATCTTAAAAGTATTTGGTTCAAATACTCTTATATTTCACATACTCTAGCTCAAATGACCTTTATTTACATTTTTATTATTTAATCAAAGATCCTCCATTCGTTTGATATAAATATCATCTTTTTCACCGTACCAATATTCTTGATGTTAATTCTGTAAATTTTACTTTTGTGATTGCATATTTGCGCATAGCAACCGCAATTTTTTTATTTTCACCGTTTTGGTAGCGTGTTTGAGGATAATTGCCCAATCCTTAGCTATAGTATCCAAAATTCTTTTTACATTTCTTTCGGTCTTATCTCCTGAAATTATGATATCCCATAAGAAAATAATGCGTGAGAAGTTATTACGTTATCAAATAACGGAAATTTTTGTGCTACATTCGAGTTATAGTTTTTAAATTTTCACAATTTCATATCAATTTCAACATAAATATGGACATACAAAATCCTTAAATTTTTCTCTAAATATATTATATAGCGCACTAAACTAGTTTACGCTGGTGGTGTAGTATATAATGTTCATTACAGATATTTATAATTATGTAAAAAATTAGAGTGATAAATAAATAGTACTAGTGTATAATATTATTTAAATTTAACTTGTAAATGAATATAGTATAATAAAGATTAAGCGAAGTTTATTGCAAAATAATGCATATTTTTTAACACACTTCTTTTATTAAGGTACATTGTTTCGCATTCAGACAATATTGTAAAGTACGTAGTTTATTATTTTTTGCAGTGTGATTAATTACTTTTGAATTTCTTATTATTTCTAACACATTTACAATATATGTATCATCGATTTGCCAATGTGAAGGATCTTTTTGCAGAAAATCAGCGTTTATCTGAAATCTATTAGAATATGTACGACTTTCAAATAGAATGAAATTTTCTATATTAACATTAACATAATTTTTCATATCTTTTAAACTAATTATTTTGCTGGAAATTTCTGTTCGTATATTACCCAAATTATTAATTATACGCATCTTTATATTAGTCAAGGTCTAGAATCAAGTACCAACAATCTTTTTAAATATCTCGGAAACTAAGGCGAAACGGTAATTATTGTGTAAATAGAAGTGCATATATAGCATCACTCGGATTGGTTCGTGTATCTTACGCATCATCAGTTTCTTCAAATTTTGTCTTTTGTAAAAAGAAGATGAAAAAAAGAAAAGAATAGGTTTAAGGCAAAGCTATTAAAGTAACATTTTACCTTCTGAATTTTTACATACATTTTTTCGAAGTGATTTATCTCTCATTTTTGCATTGAATTCTTTCAATGAAACATAGTTCTCCCAGGGCATATTTTTGTGTGACTATAATTCCATCTGCGAAAAGATTTTGCAATTTGTTTATGTTACATAATATTGTCATTTTAGAATAAAATCCATATCGATCAGAAACGTAATTGACGCAACAAATATCCTCATCGGTAAGGATTTTAAAGTTTCGGTCGTAAAAGAGTAGCTATCGTTTGAAGATGGGAATTGAGGGACTACGAATGTTTCTGTAACTTATGTAGATATTTTCTTGTTTTTACTACGTATCATCTTAATAGATGTATAATTCAAAGATGTATAATTCTCTTGCCCAGCATGAGTTATAAATTATACTATGAGCGATGCATACATGAAAACACGGAAGAGGAAATTATGGAAAATATAATTAACAATTTTTGGTTAAGTACCGTAAATCTTTTTCACAGTATTGCGTCAGTAAATTAACAGTTCATAGTCTTTTCATTGCATGAAAATGCACGCTTGTCATATACTAAAATTGCAAGAACTTATGCCTTGTGATTTTATCCTTCGGAAAACTTTTGTTACTAACTATTATATTTTAATAATACTGCAGTGATTAAACATTTTCTTTTCGTATTCTGTAGATAGTTGAAACAAGATTTATACATTTCATGGATATTAGAGGAAATCTTTAATTACCATATTACTATAACAATTTATTTGCATAAAATTTGTAAAGTTGATACTTGTGCTAGCATAATTGTAAACAGAATGATGGGACTTCCTGCTACTGCTTTATTACAAAATATATATCTAATATTCGAAAAATAAGTTTTTAAATCACTAAGACGAAACAATATGTCGTGGAAGTTCATATAATATTATTTAGTAAATTTTTTAACTACATATTTTATTCGAATATCTGTAACGTAAAATGATGAATGAGGTTTAAATGGATCTAAATGAAATAATATACGTTTTTATTTTAAAAATTAATACATTGTAGAATGCTGTTGTATATTTGCATTTATGAGGATAGTCTTATCTGAAAAATATAGTCCTTTTTAAACGATAGTCTTTTCTTCTAACATCTTTTTTTCATTGCAAGTAATTGCGCGGACCACCCTGTATAACATGTGGTTATATATATTTGAATATATTCTATAATATAGGAGAAATAGTGTGCTTTTTATTTTTACATTCTAATCATATATTTTGCAAACGACTTGATTATATAATTTTATGTTATTTATTCATACGGAACTATTCTAATTTTACTATCATTTGGATATCTCACATGATGATATGCTTTCTTATTTCATATGTTGAAATAATTGACATCTATATACCGAATTTTACGAGTTTAATGAAAAAGATTGACTAAATGCATCATCTCCATTATGTTGTATAGGGTGAATCACCTAACAAGACCGCTTCGATCGTTTTCGTTTTTAATTAATTGATTTTTTTATCTTTAGTAATACAGTTAACTTAACAAATTAAGTGTTATTATTTTCTCTTTGTTTTTTCACGTTCTATACTTCTGTAACAAAATAATTTTTTGTTATTTCTCCAATAACTAAATAATTTCAGATAATCGAGGTGGTTACGTTACATGGTCTACCCTGTGTACACATATATACTCAGTATATTTAGTACTGTATATTAAAGTTAACATTTGATGGCAGTAAGTTGCTTAAAATTACAAGTAATAATTCCTTGAAATGTAACAGTTCATAAAAAACATTATCTAAGAGTTTTATTTATTAGCTACTACTCGTTTTAAATTGTACGATATTGTTTTATACAATATTACCTTTGCATATACTCACTGTACTACATAGCACAGTTGCTCTAATTTTTTAAATATTTTTATTGTACTCAAAGTAGTCTATGTAACTGGAAACATCGACATTTCGAAATGTATTTATATTGTATAATATAAGTAATTTTTACTATACTTAATTTCCATTCAATTGCATAATACTTCACAACGAATAATCAAAATTATTTTTGCCTATAAAATGATAAAATTATTGCTATTATTAATAAGTACAAACTTTGAAATTTGATTAAAAATAAGTTATTTAATAGTCACTCCGATTCCAATTATTGATGATTTTATTTCATAAAGACACGAAGAAAAGTAGTATTTTAAAAAGTAAACTAACAAGAATAAATGTAGCAAAAAATATACTACAATAGTATCTAAAGTTATTTAATATATTTATAAATTTATATAATGAATTTGTATGCAGATATCAATAATTAACAATTTGAAAATTTTGTATTTATCGTGACTCAATTAAGTCACATTATTTCAATATTCAAATACTTTTGATTTTTAAAGAAATAGTTTAAAACAAAAGATACTGGTTTTTAACATAGGTTATGAAAATAAATTGTTTTCTGTATACCTATTAAATTGCTTCCAGTTATATGGGCCATTCTGTATAATTTTAAAATTGTACGTTAAAATTTGTACGTTTAATTACACTTCTCAAGTAAATAATATATTCATTGTAGATTATAATATCTATATCAACGTTTATTATTATAGGTTGGTATGTCGGTATAAGAGACAAATCCTGACATTTCGGATTTACTGTATACAGTATATCAATAAACTTGTCCTATTGTTTTGTACGCAATTATATACAACAGGGTATTTCAGCAACAAATTCAGATTAACGGGATACATTAACATTATTGAAATGTACTTAATATTCCATTTCATTTACACTTATAATCTTCAATTTTTTATGTTTTAATTTTTGCATAACACTTTCACAGTTTATGAATAACATAACAGAAATATACGTATACGACAAATTTAAATTTTCATATTCGCTGTGCATGTGACACTCTACATTAACATTCATTTAAACAGCTATAATACAGAAGAGTTTTTAATAACAATCATTAAGAATGAAATGTCGCTTTGCTTAAAAATTACTGCTTTAAAGCGCACAGTATTCGTTAAAAATAAATAATATATTTTATTGTGAAAATGATTTTAGAAATGGAAGTTGAAAAGAATTCCTCTGAGACATACAAGAAGATAAAGAGTCAAGATTTTTTGTTCGACTATGAATTTACGTTGAGATAAGAAGAAATTCCACGTACGTAAAATAAGATGGAATTTTAATTAATGACAGAAATTTTTGATCCCACTTCATTATATAAATATGTAACTGTACTAAAAATAAAAAATACAATATTTTCTTTAATAGACGTTAATATTAGAGGTGTAGTTAACGATTATCGATAAGTGATATTAATGGGGATATTGAGATACCAATAAGACGAATTGGAATATTTAAATTCAAATTCATCGTATAATATAATTGTTACTCATAAGAAATTATGACGAAATTGTACTCATTGATGTGAATAAAATTTGTCCGAAATAATTGTCAAGGAAATATTCCACATATATCTCTTTTTTTATCGATAATCTATATCGAAAGAGTGGAAACACGTGTTCTCATTTTGTGACAATTCAATCTCTTTCCCATTTGTGGATGTGTTTTGATTACTAGCATACTTATGTTTTTAGTTATAATTTTATTACTTAAACCAATTTCCATATTTATAAAAAACAAAACCAAAAAAAAATACTTCAGCTAGATGAATAATGAAAAAATCAGTAAACTTATAGTTAAATTAGGGAACTAATAATATTAATCGTTATATGTCAAAGTATTTTAATAATAGTGCTAATGACTATTTTTCCAATGAGAGCTTATATAGTTGCAGTATATGTACAGAATGTGACACGTAACCGTGTCACAGTTTTTCAGACACTTTCGACAGTCTGACAAAAACAATTTTCTTAACAAAAATTGATCAGTATTTAATCGGCTACATATTAAAAGATAAAAGATTTCATAACTTGTTTTCTTTTGACGGCAGAACGGTATTTATATTTCCTTCGTAACAAATTTCGTAACAAATATATAGGCAGTTGAAATTGCTTATACATATCCAATACTAGAAACCAACAATGCCAAAAACCAACACATGTGAAGATCATGGTATAGTAGATCATTGAATTTGTATTTTCATCAGCAATAACCATACGAATACAAAAAATACAGGATGCCATTTAGAAGAGTCAAAGTGACTTCAACTTTTTTTTCGCACGATAAAAAAAGGTTTTTGAACTTTTTATATTTCAACATATACTTGACTAAATACTGATCAATTTTCGTTCGAAATATTTTTTCGTTAGACTGTCGAAAGTACCTGAAAAATCACATGGCGACAGTTAGGAGCTACACCTGTATATACAGAGTATTTCATAATGTATTTAACATAACCCACTTAACATAACATAGCATAACCCATTTCGAGAGTTCATTGTATGTCTAAGAAAAAAGTGAAAAAATTGTTACATAAACACATATCCTATCTGTCTTCATCTTCTGTTGTAATTATCTTTACATACGATGCTCAAAGTACATTTCTCTTGCCATCGATCTGATTACTCTCTCTATCATTTCCGGTGTTTCTCGGATTTGTTTAAAAATTGCTTAATCACTCGATTAAAATACGATGGATCGCTGATGTTGTCTTCCTGTGGCACTTTCAGGAGGTATATCAGGTCCCTTGGCTTGAAAGTCTGTTGATTGATTTTTCTATCATAATACGATTTGGCCCTCGACAAGATTGCATTAGATATAGTCTCCAATGCCACAAGGCAATCGCTATATCTTGACTATACAGGACCTCCTGGCTAAATATTCCCTCGCAATACGCTAAATATTCCCTCGCGTGACATGCAACGAGGTCAAGAAGGCCGCGCGCAATAACCAAGACACATCGAAAATCCGAAACACCTTTGTGTCCTGCCACGGCGGAAACGTGGTTCTCTGATATTATGTCTTGACGGGTGTTGGTCGGGGATTTTGGACTAGAGTGGGAATAGGTTCCTATCAGGGTGTTCGTTGAAGCGGAAAGTTCCAGGATGTGGTCACGGATTTATTACCACGGGATTCGGTCAATGGAAGTCTTTGAGATGGAAATGGTCTTCATGTTTAATTCTTTAAGGACGTCATAGAGGCTGCGCAGTGCCTCTAGAACGTCTGAGGGATTGGTAGAATGGGCAAGAGAGGATTTGATTGGCAGTTGGATCTGGAGATACTTTCCATGGAGATACTTTCATCCATCATGTATAAACTTCATACTAAGTCTAATAGAAAAATCAACGTACTTTGTGCCTGTTAGTTTCCCATCAAGAAAATATGGTCTAATTAAACATTGATAAATTATTCCTGCCTCATTTAAACTAATTTGCTGTTGATGTCTCGACTTCACGATAACACATGAGTCTACTTTATCCCAATAATGGTTATTATGAAAATTGAATATACATTCTCTGGTAAAACCAGCTTCATCGGTAAAAGCAAATAAATGCAATATAAATGCAAAACTCTCTTACACAATTATAATAACCAAGTACAAAAGGTATCCCAAGTTGAAAATTAGTTTCAGCGAGTCCTTGTATTCGCTGAAAATGCTACGGGTATAGTTCTTGTTATTCTGTTTCTTCTTATTCTTCGAATACTGTCTTTGTTATTGCTTTCAACATGACGAATGATCCGCTCGTCAAACGTTTCTATTAATCTGATTTTCCAGTGTTTGAACTACTTTTCTGCAAGCAGTCAGTCTCTCATAGACGTTCGTATATTCTTTCAAATGTTTTTTATTCGATATACGTCAATTGGGAAAATATTCCCAATTATTCCTAAATATTCCCAATATCTCTCATAGACGTTCGTATATTCTTTCAAATGTTTTTTATTCGATATACGTCAATTGGGAAAATATTCCGAGTATAAACATCTTGCTTCGCTTAAATTATACATTACATCTAGCAAAATACATCAAATCCATATGTATCATTTCTAAATTAGAGTAATGTTCCGCCATCGCTCTAAACACAATTTTATGTGTCACGATCACGGTGACAATATGTGTTACAAGTATTAGTAAGAACTGAACTGAAAGACATCAAATAATTATTATTTGTGAACAATGAAATTTCTTACTTACAAACTACATATTGTGGTTTGTGGAAAGAGAGGCTGGATATGGGAGTTTTCTCTATTTATAAAATTCTTTATATTTTATAGACGAAAATAAGTATGCGTTTATATCACTTGTTGCATTCTTTATAGTCATACAACCAATTCTCGAAGTGAGCCCCATATGTTATGAAAAATCCTGTGCCTATGTATACACTGGATCAAAACAGTCTCTATATACTCGATTAGAATTTCTTAATTCATTTATCAATATATTAACCCTTTCGTTACGGACTATAGTCGGCGGCCGCGCGACGACCTGTGTGTACACTGCGTTGATCCTTGTTTTAGAATTTACCATACTGAATTTAATTACTAAGAATTATAATTTGTTGTCTAACTACCCCAAATTGTATTTTTACTTATAATAATAACAAAATTTCTAAATATCTAAATAACTGAATATTCATACAATATAGTCATTTTCGTGTTTTTCATATAATACGATGAAATAGTTGTTATATAGTTCTTAAAATAGTGTACATACAAGGCAATCACAAAGTGGCGTTGAAAGACGTAAGTCCGAACATCGACGATTACCGACGTGCAAAGTGCACACTTCGCGGCGTGGTGTGCCCCGTTCAGTAGCGTCACTCCGGCGGCGCGAACTGCCGTAAGGAAAGGATTAAAGACTATTTTTAAACATCTTTTAACAGAATATGACTTATAAGGATATGACTTATTACCGTAAAATAATTTCGGACAAAACATGAAAATGTTAATTTTCTTTTATAATATTGAACATAAATAATGCAATCGTGCAAAATTAGCTAACCCAAAAATGGTCCATACCTAATAATTTTAACTGAATAACTTTGTAATTAATTACAACTTATTTGATACATTTAATTTTGTAAGAATATATAAGATTAGACGAGCTCCGGTTACCGATAAGGCGGCGTGAATGAGGAGCACGTAGCAACGATAACCGGAGTCTCAAATCGAAGCGGCGATCCTCTTGATTCGCGATCAATGAACAAAGGAAGCCCATCCTTAACCGTGTGAGTGCCAAGCGGCGCGATCGCGCTTCTTCTATTTTGTGTCCAAAAGTGCCAGCGCTCTGAGCTGCGAAGCTGACAATCAGCGCGCTCGGTTGGTGAACGCGGAATATGAGAAGCGCTATCGCGCCGCTCGGCATTTTTGGACACGGAATATGACAAGCGCTATCGCGCCGCTTGGCAAATATCAATTGGGAAACAATAATGACCCGTGGCACTCAAACGGTTAAAAGGGCAGGTCGAGAAGCGTACGGGACAGTGCTTAGGCAGTTCTTTGAGAGGAGTTATTGAAAGACAGTTTACGGGAAAGACGAGAGCGTGCGTACCTCATAGCGAAGAGAATATGGAATCGGCCACTTGAGAGTTATACTTGTGACCTAGCCTTCACTTTGTAAAAACCCCATACAATTTTTAATAACTAGTTTGGCCTCCGTTTACCGATATGACTTCCAACAATGTATTTTATAATCCTTTAACTAGTTTTTTTGTTAGTTTTGGACCAATTGAATTCCACTGTGCTGTAATTGCGCTTTCTAGTTGTTCTTTATTTCTTATATTAGATTTTCTTATTCTTCTTCTTATTTCTTCCTATAAGTGTTCGATGGGATTCATATCTGGTGACTGAAGTGACGTATTTAACTGTTTTGATGCGTTGTAGAGCAACCACTCTTTAACATATTTAGCAGTATGTTTCGGGTTTTCGCCTTGATGAAAAATAAAATTTCCGAGATTTAATTTTTCTGCATTGAATTTAAGGTTTTTCCGTAATATATCCAAATATACACGTTGATTTTCCCGCAATATTTATGCAATAGACACATTATAGTCTCAATAAATTTTAACTCCTGGTGCCTTCATGCATCCTCAAACTAAAACACTGCCTCCTCCAAGCTTAACTGTGGGACACATGTTTGCAGATTTTAAATGTTCGTTTTTTTTTTTTTTCGGCCATCATTATCCTCCCATCATACTCATGAATGTTAAATTTGGATTTGTCGCTAAATAATATAGACTCCTGAAAAGAATTCG